ATTAAAATAAAATAAATTAAAAAAAAGACAGAGAGAGAGAGAGATGACATGTAACATGCTAGTGTATATATAATGTGGCTACAAAATCAAATTTTACTAGCACATACTTTAACGGAGGAATACTCCTATTTTCAGCAGGGCTAATGCCATTGAGTAGTGCCTTCCTTGAGTGAATTATGAAATGCTTAGTGGGTGATAGAGAAGAAACCTGGTATATAAAATCACCTGACAGACAATAGAAAGTTCAATATGTAACCCTAAAAACCATGGCACAAGTATTTTATAGAAGAAGTTATAACCTCAGATCTAAACCACATCAATGGCAACATATGATGTACAACAGAGATCCATTATACTTTAGGACCAATGAAACGCAAAATACTAGATGAATCCCTAGTAACAAGAGGTATAAAAAGTGCAAATTGCTACTTCTGTTGAGTTAACAAGGAATGATTTGATTCTGGCATAAATGAAAACATAAATTCATAACTTCATTTTACTACTGATCTTCTCAAAGGCGATATCTTACCAGACAAATAAACTGCAACTGCAAGCCTAATAAGTAGTAGCTGAAACAAAAAGGGTGATCCCAAAAATTCCCATCAAAATTATTTTTATGTTTGACTCTGTATCTTTCTACAAGCAAACCATATGTTATTTGTTTTCAGTGATTGTTACAAACCAAATTCAGAGCCCTGTTCCCATTGTTTCTATAGCAATCAAGATATCATACATGAAGATTCCTGGCTCCTATCAGCATGTCACGATTTGGCTCCCATTAATTAAAGTAGTAATTTCAAGTTAGTGGCAACAAGCAACCAGGGATTTTGAAATAATAAGCACCCACTGGTATGCATGTAATATACCCAGTCATTGAAAGTTAAAAACCCCTTCAGTGCATTCTTAATGCAAGACACTGTTTAAGATCAGTTATAAGAACTTGTAAAATAATTTATATACTAACATATACATGGTGCATTGTAATACCATTTTGCAATTTTTATGAAAAGAAGCAGATAAAACCCATTCATTGAAAATAGACAAAGAATGTAGACAGAAGAACCGTACACAGCTCATGGTAAGAATCATGATCATCCACACCAATTCGACATTTGACACTGACAGGTACATTTGTGCTGGCAGCAATTGCTGACATGGCCTCAGCAACAAACTTTCCTTGTATACATTAGATTCATATCAATTTGCATTGACAAAGAAAAATTATACATTTAATGATTTAATTTGTTTGCATGTTGTCATATTTAATTAAGGATCAAGGATGGTTTTCTGACCTTGGGGTTAAGCATAAGGCTCACACCAAAACACCCATGCCCGGCAACTTTTGGACTAGGGCATCCACAGCTGATATAAATTTTGAGAGAAAAAAAATATTTACATCAAAGACCAATAGTAGGACAATAAAACTTTAAGGTTTAAGATGATAGGAAATATACAAACTTTAAGTTGATCTCGTCATAGCAATAAGTATTAGCAAGTTCAGTTGCTTTAGCCAAACTTTCTATATTACTCCCTCCAATTTGAAGCACAATGGGATGTTGGTCTGGAGAATATGCCAAGAATCTGTCCTGAGCAAAATAGACAAAATAAAAGAATAAACAGCTTTTCAATACCAATTTATCCAGAAACTATGATGTCAAAACCAAAGTATTACTTTGAGCTCTTTTGCACATATGCCCACAAAGATACGATAAACAATTGGTTTTAAATGAAAACCAATATTTACAATGTATGTTATTTACCACAGAAAACACAAAGAATGTTGCAAAACAGCAATCAATACCTTAGTTATTCACACAAGCGAAACCCTTTTAGCTCCATGGTAATGGTAACTAGTTATTTCTTATTTTCTGTTAACAAGCAAACTTATATATCTAAATTTACCAGATTGTCCTTCTGATGAACAATTGTTTCAGCTGCAAGCATCTCAGTGTACAGCCAAGAATGTTTTGATATGAGGCGTGCTAGAGTCCTATAGTGATGGTCTGTCCAGTCCATCATTGGAGCAACACTGAAACTCAACCAACAAAATACCAAACCAGTTTGACAAAATCAGTATAAATTATAGCACACGCAGATGAGAACCAGGCACCAAAACCAATAAAGCAATGCAGAGATATCATTACCAAGCACCCACCTAAACCAAGGAGGAAAATAGTATCTGCCAACCACCCCAGGTTTCTCATGCAATTGTTCTTTCTGGGCATGAATGGAAAATAACCTAGAGCTGCATTTGTTCCTACGCGATATACCTATCGTGAATCTGCAATTGTTTTTAACTAAATTATAACTTATGGGAGCAAATGAAACGGCCAGGGAATATCCTGCAAGCTTCGTCATCTCATCCCTTCTAGCAAACCATGGTCTGCTCTCTCAGCTACTTCTACCTATCCATCAAAAGAAACAAAACTTTGACACAGTGACACTGATACACACCATACGTATGTCAATGTATGAGACAAATAATGAGGCATGCTAATTTCTCGCCTAAGTAAACCAAACTAATAATAAACTTATTTAACTTGAAGGGTAAATATTGTGAAGTTGGGAAATCCTTAAAAATGGGAGCAAATAACTATTGTTGGGAGAGCAAGAGAAGACTAATTTGAGAGGCATTTTATCGAATAGAATATGTGCAGAGTCAGAATATGACATTGCCGTATAGAAAGTAACATTTACGTGAAGGAAAGAAATTTATGATGCTGGTGCCGGATTTGACAACGGGTCGTGGATGTTGGTTTGCAGCTTATCCAGATTCCAGACAAGTAATGGAAACCAAACCAACGTACTCTGTTTGGCTACTTATGAACTTGTGTTAACCAGCTTTTCTACATCTGAAGGAAGCTTGTAGATAAGAGATTTGGCTGCTTTATTACATTTGTGTTTGGGTTTGAATCTCTTGAAAAAAAATTATTAAGCTTTTAAACTAAAAAAAAATTGTAATTAAGGAGAGTGTGTTGGTATAGGATTTCATAAGATTTAAAAAAAAAAATTAGTAAAAAACTTGTTGATATTTGATTAGAATTTTATGTCACTTAAAAATAATCTAGTACTACTCAATTTAGATTTTCAAGATTTTTTAAAGAGTCCATTAAAATTCATTGATATTTATTTGAGACTTTTTACAACTTAAAAATAATCAATTAGTATTCAAAAATATAAGGATTTTAAATGATTGTTATATTAAAAGGATTTTGAAAGACTTTTTAGTGGTATCTATACTAAATTCATAAAATAATCTCATCCAAATTCATCAGATTTTGAAAGATTGTTTGAAGTAATTTTTTAAGTGCTTTCTTTTTTTCGTTCCTGGAGTATCCACCGTCGATAGCAGTGACTAATCTCCTCGCTACGTTTGAGGCACCTGGCCCCAAGATTTAACGCGGCTGCATACACAAGGCACGATTCGAACCTCTGACCTTGCTTAAGCGTGGATCAACCCCTACTGCTGAACTACACGCTTGAGGTTACTTTTCAAGTGCTTTATGAATTTTCAAGTGAGTTTTTTATTATTTTTTTATTCTCATGTTTTCTCTATTTTTTTCTCTTGCTAATAATATATATAATATTGTACTATTGTTCTCATTCCATTCTCCTATTTGGTGAAACTTCTATATGTAAATCTTGATTAAAAGTTTTGCAGAATCCTACAAAATCTTAAAAATCATGAAAATCTTGCAAAATCTTTTAAAATTCATAAGACTTTTTTATCTCATTAAAATATTGATTGAAAGTTTTGCAGAATCTTACAAAATCTTAAAAGTCATGAAAATCCTGCAAGATCTTTTAAAATCTATAAAACTTTTTTTAACTAAAAAATCATTTAAAATTCTAATTCAATACACTTCCCTAAATTTTAATTATTTTATATTTAAAATTTTAACTTTTATGATTAAAAGTTAATTTATCGTTTGTAAAATTTGAAAAAATAATTTTATATTTAGACAACCGCATCGTATAATTATTTAATGTGACCTCTTTCATGTATTGTGTTTTAATTCTTATTTATAAAAATATGATAAATGATGACATAATATAATATCTTAACGTGTGTTGTAATTCAGGTATATTATGAAAGGCTTACGATTATACATAAAAAAAATTATAATAACTCTATTAAAAAGTACAAGTATTTCTAATGCGGTTTAGCTTAATTTTTAACTTATCATCTAAACTAAATAGAAAATTTTAGAGTTTAAATGTATTGTGAAAATCTGAAATCAACCCAATTTGATTTGGATTTTGCAATTTAAAAAACTTGTTATTCAAAAAATAAATAAATATAAAATATGTAATATTATTTTGTTTATTTAAAAATTTTATGTCAAAAATTAAATTAAAAATATAAAAATAGTTTAAACTTTTAACATTGTCTATTTGGCATCATGTTTTTATCTTATTATTTTGGTGATTTTTTTTAATATAATTGTAATTATCATATTAAATATTGTTTCTCACGTATATAATTAGTCACTTGAAAAATCATTTTCCAATGTTATAAATGATTTTTTTATTTTTAAAATAAATTTTAACCCGTAAGTTGCGGTTCGATTGATTTAGATTGATTTTACATTTTCAATTTGCAAATCGAACTATACAACTAAAATACACAAAATTGATAATTTTTTATTTTTCAATTGAGATGATTAGGTTTTGAACACTTGTATTAAAAAGTGCTATGCATAACATCAACTTAGGACATGGTAATTTAACCCATACTATAACATACATGCATGATCCTTCATCACAAATTTCCTAAATGTCTATATTATCAAGTGATTCAAGTGTTGATTGTAAGAAAACACTAAAAAAAAAAATTACTCATATCACCAACATTTTATTAAATCAAAGATTTATATGAACAAAATGCATAACATTTATCTAACCCTAATTATAATGAAAATAGAAAATTATAATAGAATTACAATTAAGAAGACGTAACGGTGAGTGAAATTGAAATAATTGAAGGTTCAAATCCATATTTTAATGGTTAAGTTTTTAGTGTGAAATGCAAATAAAAAAATCTTAAAATTAGAACAAGTAACGAGATAAGTCATTTTTTAACACATTCAACTTTTCATGTGTCTTGTAAAAGTCGAGATAAATCACTACCAACAAGTTTGTTGAGTAAGAAATATTTTAGAAGCTAGACATTAATCTAATGCCTTATAAGCTAGTCTAATGTCTTGAACATTGGATACCCAATAAAACTAATGTGACTTTGTGTCTTATCCAACATCTTAACATCTTACATATTGTGTTTCTAATCGATTTCACTAATCCTAATGAATTTTTATGTGACTTTGCATCTCATCCAACATCTTCCTACATCTTCACATCTCACATGTTGTGCTTTCAACAAATCCCACTAATCATAATGTGTAAGCATACACAAACCCAACATCTCATGCTAGACAATTAAGGACAACTATTTTACAATGGTGCTAACTTTGGTGTTACTAACTTTTTACATGTGTATTACTTTATTAAAAAAAAAACAATATCTTAGTTACTAACTTTTTGTAAGTGTGTTACTTAAATAAAACAATAAAAACATCCCTTATTTGCAACTAAACTAAAATCAAACTATTTTATGTTTTGACTACAAACTTTTATTCTTTTTATTTTTATTTCTGATGAAATCATGCATGTAAATTTATCACTAGTAGACAAGAAAATGTCGAAAATAGAAGGTTACAATCATGTGAGTGAGGAAGTGAATATCTCCCTTAAGCTAGGTTGTATGTAACAAACAATTTTTATATACTTTATTATATAATAAAACATCTCCTTCCCTTTTATTTTCGTCCAAAATTTGTCAAAACATAAAAATTGGAATAAGCCATAGTTATTGCTCCTATTTATTTGATTGCATGTAGTAAATTAGGGAAAAATGTTATTTGACACAAATAGTTTAAAATGTTATTTGAATTTATAATTTGTATGATGTCTGTTTGATATCTTTTACTATTATTAAAATATTTATTTAATAGACATATTTGCTTTAGAAGATCTTTTGACATTAAGGATGAAATTCACCCGTTGAACCTCTATTGTCAATTCAATAAATAAGTCCCGAGTATTGAATTCTGATTAACTATTAAGTGAATAATAATTTTTAGTCAAAAGATTTTCAACATGTTATTAACTTATTGTTTAACAATTTTAGGGGTGTTATCTCCAACTATCATTTTATGTATAAAAAAAAAATGTCACTCATATTCATTTTTTCCTTTTATTTTTAAAGCAATAATTAAATTTTATTGTCCACTTCTATTCACCCATTTTCTTTCACACATTTTTACTTAAACTAACCAAATTTAAATATATTGTTTTCTTTACTATCGATTATTGATATGAAATATCTAATGACCACTTTTGATAAAAAATTTGGTTGGACAAATTTAGTGAATTTTTTCCTGTAACTATTTTTTAAAATCATGTTTTTTTTCATACAATTTAAATAAACTATATTATTATAAAAAAAATATAGCTACACTTGTACCAATTATTTGTTGGGTATACAAAACCTAAACATAAATGATGAAAAAAAAATAAAAGACTTAAATATATTTTTAGTCTTTTAAATTTAGGGTAAATTTATGTTTAGTTTCTAAAATTTAAGATTATTATTTTTAGTTTATGTAATTTTTAAAAAATTTATTTTAGTGTCCCAAGTTACCAACAACATATATGAAAAATTGAGATAATTATATATTATCAATGAACATGATATTTTCATAAATATTAATAAAAATATTAATAGATAATTTTATGTGATGATATTTAATAAATTTTCTATAAAATTTTAAGTATAAGAATGAAAATAAGATTTATTTAAATTATAAAATTTAAAAATAAAAAAAATAAATTTATATAAAATTTGAAAAACTAAAAATATATTTAAAGTAAAATAAAAATTATCAAGCAGTGGGAGAACTTAAAAGAGGCAACGCAGTCGTTGCGGTGGTACTACAGGTAGCATACCCTTATTCATATCCTTCACTAATAAATACACAACACATTTCACATTCCCAGTTACACCTTGTTTCTTCCGCTCGCACCGCTCTCTCTCGAAACGCAAATTTTGTCCTCGTGCCTGGGCGATCCTTCAAGTTACTATTAAGCTCCTTTTCCGTTTTCTTTTCACTCTCATCTATCACACAACACGATCTTCTATAACTTTTTCGTGCGGTTTTTTTTTTTTTTTTTTTTTTTTCCGAAGC